CTGGGCTGCTCCACCTCAATCAGGCTGCTCCACCTCACTGGGGCTGCTCCACCTCACCTGGGCTGCTCCACCTCACTGGGGCTGCTCCACCTCACCGGGGCTGCTCCACCTCAATCAGGCTGCTCCACCTCACTGGGGCTGCTCCACTTCACACAGGCTACTCCATCTCACTCATGCTGCTCCACTTCATCTGGGCTGCTCCACCTCACTGGGGCTGCTCCACCTCACTCAGGCCACCATTGAGACCCTACATGCATCTGAGGTGGAGCCTCCAGCTCACTCATCAAAAACTTTTGGAGAAAGTCCCCGATCTTCTGGGTTTTACATTCCAGTTGTTGTGTGAGGACAGACAAGGATTTAAACAACAAGAGAACCTCAGACGGTGTGAGCCCTACCAAGACTCTGGCAGGATCTGATCATGCACCTGCCCAGGATCCTGGTTGCAGGGCGGGTTTTACCTGAGCTCACGTCTCTTCCACTTGAGCTTTTCCAGGCTGCCAGATGGCATCTCTCAGTCAAGCATTTGCATCTGTTCTGGTCTGAGGTCCCAGCTGTGGTTTCTCTTCCTGCTGCGAGTGCAGAGGCTGGCCTGACTGAACAACACGCTCACTTACAAGGGCTCAAGAAGCAGCAGGCTTCCCTTTCACCGACCAAATGGCCAAGCTGGAAAGGCCTGGAGAGGAAAGGAAATGCCTGGACCACACAGCCACACAGCCGGGACAGGTCTCTTGGCTGCCAATCTTTCCTCTGTCCCCACAAACGGCAGAGATGTGTCACAGGCGATGTCCAAATATCAGCCTCCCACCACTCCTCACAGTGCCCTCTCTGATGCCCAAACCCTACTTGGCCCCAGAGGACAGCCTGCAATGGGCCAGCGATGGCCCTTGTGAATGCCAGACCCCAGCATTCATCTGGGGTGTGAGAGATGCAGACACAGGCTGTGGGAGCAGAGCACACCCACAGAAACCTCAGGAGGGCAGCCTGTTCTGTCGCCCAGAGGCACCAAGAGGTGCCAGGCGTTGCCAAGTGCTGGTCATAAACGTGACTCAGAGGGGTTCCTGCCGGAGGGCTCTGAGCCTCACAAGACGACACCCTCAAAAGATGCTGAAACAGGCGCCCTCACCTGTGACTGCGGCCCCTCACCTGTGGATGCGGGTAACCACACAGCCCTCAGCCCAGGCACATGGTGAGTGATGACGGCAGCTGGCTGTCACTGTGTTATCATCACTATGTTTTCTACTAGCTTTTATTCCTACCTCCATCTAATGTCACTTTCTTCTCCCTCAATTGTCTTTCCTGTAACTAATCTATTATCAGAGTTATTTTATGCATCCTTTAGAAGCAGTTCTGAAATTTTTTGGAACAAGGTGCATTGAGTATATGCTGCGTGTGTGTCTGTCTGCACATGTCTGTGTGGGTTCGCAAGTTTCCATGTCTCTGCTTGTCTGTCTGCATGTGTCTGTGTGTTTCCCCATGGCTCTGCAGGTTTCCTAATGTCTGTATCTCTGTGTGTGTTGCATGTACCTGAGTCTGTCTGCACATTTGTGTCTCTGCATGTGTGCATACCTCTGTGCGCACACACACACACACAGGAATAAATAACTGTAATTACATCTGAGTTAGTGGGGGATGGAGCGGTCCCAGGGTGACTCTCCCACCTTGGTTTTACTGGGTTGGTGCGTGCCCTAGGAGCCCATGTGATGGAAGGCATGCTCCCATGGAGTGGCCGCCAAAGATAACCGGGACCTGACCTCCTCCTCTGGGGTCCAGTTCCATGGGAAAGGAGATGTGGGCAAAATGCTGAGTATACAGAAATGTCACACAACATTACAAACGCACCTGGCATCATAGGATGGTGTCGAACTGACCAGCAGCCCACAGCGGGCATTGCTTCCAGGGCACGTATGGCCAGAAAGTTCTTCCGATGGCTCTCGGAGCACAGGCCTCCGGCCTCACACAACCTCTCCCTGTCTGCAAGTCAGAGTTTTGCCAGAAAATAACTTCCCCTCCTTTATGTAGATTAAAATATAACTAGAGAAGAAAACTACTTTTAAGCATTAATTTCCCCCCTTCCTTCCACAAAGATCTACAAACACGGCTTTGGGAATGTCACCCCGAGGTGTAATACAAAGCAGGCGTCAGCTCTGGAGGAGAGGCGTGCAGGTTCCTGCCCTCCAGTCCCCTGGTGAGAATGTGTCTGCACAGTTACCACTGAAAATGGTTCTTCGGGACCAGTTATTAGGTACAGAAATCAGTGTTTAATTGTCAACCCCTCAATAAGATAAAACTTGCAATTGAAGCACAGTCCCAGAGAGGAGAACCCGATTCCACATCAGCCTGTCTGATGACACACTCACTGCTGTGCATGTACACGGCACCGTTTACAAGTCTGTCTCAGCTACGGTTTATTTTGTTGATCGTACAGTAAACTCAATGTTTTGTTTTTAAGCTTGCCTTGCAATATCAAGACACATTTTTATTAAACTGATCCAGAAGAAAAGGAAAACTTGTATCACAAAGTTCAACACAGCTGCTTGAATTTTGAATTATAAATAATAAAAGACAGCAAGAAGCACCCAACACTTGCAAGGAACCTGGAGACATTCCTAATCTATACAGACATTTAGTTCCAACGTTTGTGGGTCACGGAAGCACCAGGCTGCTTCCAGAACTGCAGCCCGTGGGCGGCACCCACCCTGCCGCCACCTCCAGGAAGGGCCCAGACAGCTCCACGTGGAGCAGGCACCTGAAGAAGCCCGTTTCTCCGTGAAATCTCAGCTTGCCCACGTCTGTCCAGAGACACGACACAAGTACACGTTAACACGCTCCTTTGCCCTCATCGCAGGCCCTTGGTCAGAGCCTCCCGAGGTGTCTCCGCCCAGTTTCTGGCTCTGTCTCCTCCTCCACAAGACGGTTATACTCCCTAACCTTTATTCCAACTTCAAGTGTTCCATATACACGTTTTTAAGCCAGTACGACCCTTTTTGAGAGGAAGCGAACAAAAACCATTAATTAGTTGATTGGTGCATTCATTAAAGCAGATCCTCATTATTCACAGATTCTACATTTGTGAGTGTTTTATTTCTAAAAAATTTTAAATTTAAAAAATTTTATTTTTTAATTTTGAGTTTCTTAAACTTTTTGAAACTTGTTTGGCCTCTTTCGGTGAAGACCTGGAAACACAGGACTGCAGCTGAGGAGAAACACCCCCTTCTGAGCAGGGCGGTCCTGCACGGACGGACGGACTCAGAGGCCATCTGCTTGGCTCTTGCAGCAGTAGGGCCCCAGGTGCCGGCTGGGTCAAGCTTCCTTCTGTAGGGGATGGGGACTAAACCAGGGCTGCCTCTCCTTCAAGGAGAAGATGAGCTGGGCTTGGATGGGAGGAGGACAGAGCCTTCCTGTCCTCGATGGGAAGCTGGCCCAAGCCTTCCTGTGGCTGTAACAGAGCCCAGTGCGTACTGCTGTGGGGAGTGGCACTGACAGCACTCAGGGAGGACAGGGGCCGAGAGGTGAGGCCGTGAGGGTCCTGCTGCCCCTCGGGGGAGCGGAGCTGTGTGCGAGCTACCTGTAGGAGCCACTGTCCCATCTGAATCCTGGGCTTGGGGGAGCCAGTGAGGCCGCCCCATGGCACCTCCTCTTCTCCCATCCTCGGCTGTGGGCCAGCTTGGAGGGGCACCCCGCCCTCATGCGTTTGCAGAGAGGAAGCTGGGAGGGCAAGAGGGTGGGGTGATGCTGGGGAAGGCGGGCTCCTGCCAGCCCTCACAGACAGACCACAGCCTCCATCCTTCCAGAAGAAGGTCTCTGGAGGGCATGGGAGGGGTCTGGGCCCCTGCACGAGTCAGACAGTCGTGTTCCATGGCTGACCCGGTGTCCTGGCCCTCCCCAACTGTCCAGAGCGCCCCCTGATTTCCTTGGGTGGTGCATCAAGTAAAGCACCCCTGGTGTCACACGGGGCCATGGGCCCCTCAAAGCCAGCAGCAGACGGGCCAAGGGGAGCCCCATGGCTGTGCACACCCCACGCCCTTCCTGGCCCTGGGAGCACGCTGGTGAGTCTGGGTCCTTCTCCTGTGGTGGGAGGACGCAGCCGGGGCGGAGTCAGGAGAACACATGTCGCCCCACCAAGGACATGCATGTCTCGTTTGTTTGGGAAACAGGTGGAAGGTCTGACCATTGTGAGGCCTCTTTGGCCGATGGACTGCTTCTTGACCTCTGCGCCTCTCTGGCGGGAAGAGTGGACCCTGCTTTCAATGGGGTTCCTCAGGTCCACGGATTGGGAAGCACCATCCTGCTCTTTGTGCTGAAGTCCTGCATCCTGGGAAGCTCCTCCTCGGGGGGTGAAAGGTCCAGGTGCCTGGTGACAGACGCAGAAGACGGGGAAGAGTGAAATGTCCCTATGGTGACACCAAACACGGGTGGCAGCAGCACTGTTTAGTGTCCGGTGGAGGGGGCATGGATGGCTGGCCTTCCACAGTGACTGGCCACCAGTCACACTGGCAGGCCACTGGGATGGCGTGATGCCACCCACGGATTCACTGTTGTGCTCTGTGCCATGGTGGCGTTAGTTAGTGTCACCTGGAGAGCTCAGAGGATGAAAACAAGAATGACGACTCCCAGGGCCTTCTCGACCCGGCCTCACCAAAAGGAGAGCTTCAGTGTCGGACAGAAGGGCCGCACATCTGAACGGGGCCAGAGCCCACCCAGAGCCCTGCACCACAGGCTGGCCCTGGAGTGGGCGGGAGCGAGGAGTGACTGCACGTGTGGACACCAAACTCAAGGTCCACTGAGCCAACAGCACTTCTGCTCATCACAGGTTTGTCTCCCGAACACGCCAGCTGCAGCGGAGTCGGGCTGCTGCCGGAGGGCTTGGGCACACCCCTCAGACACGCACGGCTCCCTCCACGTGTGTCCTGATGCAGACGCTGCAGCCACGTCCTCTCGGCCCCAGAGCGGAGGCCTGGAGCAGACAGCCCATCCCGGCCCATGGCCGCATAGCTTCCTAGGGAGGCACTGCCTGGCAGAGCAAGACCAGCTGGTCTTCGCCACCAGGAGGCTGGCCTCCTCCTCCTGGAATAGCGCACCCTGCCCAGGTTCCCCACTCGCCCAGACCAGGCACCCGCCCGCACACGCCCATGCACGCACCCAAGCACACACACTCACATCCAGATTCACCCACCTCCCTCCATTACACACAGCCGACACCACACCCAATACCCCATCACACGCAGACCATGCACGTGCCCCATGCACACACACCCTCACACACACACCGCTCATCCTCTGACGTGTCTCCACCAGGACCAGCAGTGCCAGCACCGGGGGAGGCTGGTGAGCTACAGGGCGGAACGCTCTCTCCCACTGGCCCCTCCGCCCTGGAGCCAGGCCGCCCACCCTCTCCCACCCCACACCAGTGTCCCCACTGCACCCTCAGACAGCACCAGGCATGCGTCCCCTGACCAACCCAGCTCTGGTGTTGGGAGGGAAACAGGCCATCCCTGGGCAGGGCTCCTGGTCAGTCTCCTGTGCAAATCCTGGTGACCGAGGCCCGAGGAGCTGGAGGTTAGGGAGCAAGGAGGCCACGGGTCTGGTCAGAAGGTGGGACCCTCAGCGAGGGGCCAGAAGCCTCCTGTGGTCAGCTGATGCCTGCCTGGGCTGCAGGCGGCCTGTGTGCAGACACACTTTTCTGGAGGGCTCCATGATGTGAGTGGGTACCACTGTGTCATGTCACCCCAGTTACTGTTTCCAGATCATCCGTCGGGGCTCCACTCTGCCTCCCTGCCTAGGCCTGGGGCCTGAAGACCTCCCTCATAAAGAAAGACAGGTCAGCGTCCACCCCCTTCCCACCTTCCCCACACACTGGGCGCCAGCTGTGGCAAGGTGCCCCAGGCTCTGCACCAGCCACACACTGCCTTCCATCTCCGCCCCCTGGCCTGGATGCCCTCCCTCCTCCCAGGTCCAAGTCTCCACTGTCCGCCCATCGCTGGCCCACCCTGCTGGGTCCCTTCTGCCCCGCCAGGGCCATTGGCTCACTCTTGCCCCTTCCAGGGGTCAGGAGGGCAGAGTCCAGACATGCCCACACTAAGAGGCGCCTGTGCTCAACAAAGGAATGGGTGAAACCCTTCCACCTGCGCGGAGTCTGCCCTGACCCTGTTCAGCAGCACACGGACAGCAGGGCTGCATTAGAACAGGCCTCAACCTCATCTCATTTTTATCAGACTCTGAGCATAAGGAAAGAATTAAGCTTTGAAGGAGGTATCATTTCCAAATCTAAGTGGATTTTTGTTTTGGAACCTTCTCCTTTGAAAATCACGGATAGCTGATACTGACAGGCATGCTTTCTTCTGAAATTGCAGAGTAATTTATTTATTTATTCAGGCGTGTGCTCGCTGGGATGGCGTCTGGAGATAAACATCTGCTTTTGGTGAGAGGCTGTGATTTAGTCATGCCCGGCACACAGCAATCTCAGCCGTAAACAAGCACACAGTGCCCGGCCCTCTTTCTAAAATAAGACACCGG